AGCCAGCTACATATGAACATGGCAAAAAAAGAAAGCAAGATACTCCTTAAATTGAAAGAAAAACAAGGAAAAAAATCTATACACACATTAAACTAAGAATACATACACAGAATGCTCCACAGTACCAGAGATGTCAATTACTTGTCCATGTCGTGATGCATATGGTTAATACTGAGTGTGTGCACAAACCTTTACTGCCAGACTTCACAGATCTTGCTGCGGTCAGGAACACAGCCAAAGCCATAAATGTAACACCCGATTTTCAGGGGAGATGGGAATGTGGAAAAGAGTTTGGGAAATTCTCCTACAAGGATGCCTTTGAACTGCTCCAGATAACCAGAGAACATTTCCTATAGCCTCCAGGCATTAGGATGTAGCACAAGGGTATTCCTTCATCTCCAGTCAACCAAGCGAGGCCAAGGCTGCTAAGCCCATCCCTTTCCTTCAGACATACATGGGAGGAAACTCCCCCTTCTGCCACTGGACTATACAAGAGAGGGGAGGGAAAGAGAAGAAAGGAAAAAAAACTACAGTCTTCTGTCCACCATTTTAGAGAGAGAAAAGGGATTCCTCAGCTGCTTTTCCTATCTGACATCTAAATGGAAAAGGCAAGAGATCAGGCTGTTTCCTTACTGCATTAGATGGGAGAGGAAGCAGGATAGGAAGAAAGCAGGAAGCAGCCAACAAAAGGTAAGAAGAGATACTAAAACTACCCATGTACTAATGCTTTTGCATTTGAATCCAAATTCTTACGAAATCCACAACCCAGCTGTGGAAAAAGGACTTTAGGAAAGCTGGGAGGGTATGGAAGGAGGTCTGGCTTTCTCGGCATAAGTACATGTTTTGCTTTGTTTTGTATTTGCATGCTTCATCCAAAGGGTTACACAACATGAAGCTTTCTATAGCTGTACAACAACACACACTCCCCACACATCCAGGGAAAAACCTCAACCAGACTAAAATTTGTTCAAATGAACACCCAAGTCTAGCAGGACACTAATGTTTACTAGGTACCACAACAAAATTATGCATTAGAAAATATTCCCTGCCTAGTTGTAAGAGTACAGCTTTCCCATAGCAGTTCTGATGCCCTAAATTCACTAACATTTGCCAGATAGAAGCAGTTGCTCCTGGATTCCTTTGGCAAACACCGTATCTCACTTTTTTGTTCTCAGTATGCTGCAATTTCCTGTGGAATGAAGAAGTCATCTATACTACAAAGAGGTGCAGTACTAACACTTTTAGAAGTAAATTATTTTACAGCATGTAAAATAATTGTATTATGTATTATAATATTGTATTATATATGTATTATAGAGAGAAATACAATACTTGGGCTGAGAAATTCCCAAGCGGAGAGAGATTAGAAAAACAATCTGATAAACAAACACCATCAAAACTTTTATTTTCTTATTCAGTGCAAAAAATATTGGGTAACTGTTGCTGTTTGCTGTTCGCTGTTCCTAGAAAGAAGGGAATTCTGTTGCCAACAGCTGTAGTTTTTCGTAGGAATTGTAAGACTATATTGAAGATTTATGTTCCTGACAAAGGCATAAAGCTATCCAAACTAGGGCAGAAAAACCAGAACAGTCATTTCCCAATGAAACAGACACACATTACTTTTGTTAACTCTTACTACGGCAGAAGTTTTGATCTTCAAAACCAGAAACTCATGCTGTGGTTGATGTTTATAATTATTAAGTCTTGCAGTGCCACTCTGCACAGGGTGAACTGGCTTATCACAGGCTGTTATACAAGCCAGAAAGATACCCTATCACCTTTAAATTAATTCAAGTCATAAATACTTACCTCCAAAAACACATGACTTTAAACTTCCTTCTTGAGATTTTGGAGTTTTACAACTATGCTTTCCTCAGCTTATGAAAAAAGAATGAGGGTCCCCAGGCAAAAGGCTGTCCTTGCATGAAGTAAACAACCAACGGGAAGAAATCTTGGGTCTCTTTGCTTCAGTTACACAGATGCAAGTGGCCCTACCTGCCTGCACATCACCCTCCTGATTCTCATGGAAAAACTATTGCTCATGCTCTGCAGGATTAAGGTCTTCTGTGTTCAGTGGAACTACATCAGATAACAGCATACAGAACTATTATTTTTAAGTCAACTGACATTCAGCAATAAAACTCAGGATATCAGAGGTTTTAAAGTTCATTTATTTGCAAGCAGCCAAACAGCATAGTCTGAGTTGAATCCTGGGCCAATTTACAGTTCCACTCTATGCTGTTCCATGAACATTACACCGAGTTACACAACTTGGGCATCAATAAATCCTTTGCCTTGAAAGAATTTGCTCAAAGACTCACAGTGAGTCAGTGGCAGCATCTTGCCTAGATCTCAGACTTTGGCTTCCATTTTGCAGTTGCTTGGTCCACCAGATCATATTTATACAATATCAACAAAAATATTTTTCTTTCTGAAATTGCTGTTTGTTTGATTTGTTGGTTTGGGCTTGTTTCTTACTAGGAAAAGAAAATAAATTAAAAGTTTCTAAATAATTACGGTTGTGATTTTCTTTAACCAACAATACTTCTCAGCTGTAGGAAGGATAGAAAGCCTGATCTCTTTGAATAAAATGCAAAATAATTCAAAGGCCTACACAAAAAAAATCACTGTGTACCTCCCAGTTTTCAGGTTCAGGCAGACATAATCTAATAGTCTATTTGATTACTGACTTTAAAAATCCTACATGTAATCACCAAGAAGCAAAAGACGAAAATAAAACCTTCCATCAAGGATCAATTTACTACCACTCCTTAGTCCTGCAAAAGGGTCTGTAAAAACACAGGATATTTTCCCTAACAGATTTTTAATTGACCATAAACAAGTGAACAGAAAGCATTCAATTTCCATAGCATTTATGATCCAAAGGAAAAAAAAATTTAAAATCTGGGAACTTAAAACCAACTTCCATTTTAAAAGTTTTAGGGTCCAAAAGAAGAATAGCGTATATGTGGCAAGCTTTTTTCACCACAAATGGCTTCTTTAAAACAAATCACTATTGACAAATAATTAGTTATAAGAAGAGTTTCCAATAAGGCAGAGGTTAAGTTATCTAGCATGCCATTAGAGAGCACATTTAATTTCAAATGTGCTTATAGTTTTATTAGAGCCAATGTTTTTTTCCATGCTTAAGGCTAAGCATATGTTCATGTACTCCGCCAAGACAAAAGCTTCCAAGGCTGTTGTTAGAATGCAAAGCGAAGCTTTTTATCCCAAACCACATTTTCTTGCATGTAATCAACACTGATGCTGCCACCATAGTTTCCAATTCACTCCAGGGCACACTCAGCATTTATGAGGGCACAGATGGTGCTCTCTTTCTTGGATTTCTCAAGAACATGCCTAAATATTAAAACAAACTTGGCTTTCTGCCTCCTATGCTGTTCTTACTCTCTGTATTGCCACCATAAAAATAACAGTCACCTTTGATCTAACCTGGAAGCCTTTTCTAATTAACACACAAAATTTGGCAATAGGACTATCAAGTACTGTCAGCCCACTTGAAACCAGTCAGAAGTGATCAACAGCAGGAACAAGCAATCCACAAAACAATCAAAAGGGCAAAAATTGGTAACAATTTTTTCAGTAACGAACTACACAATCCCAACTGTATTTAATGGCTGAGTATGTCTGGAACACACACAAGGTTATTCAGCAGCTTTAGCAACAATTATCAAACGAAGAGGCTCATTTGTAAGGCAAATAAAGAGCACTAGCATGATAGTACTTAAGTGAGCAAGGCCTTTTCCAACACACTCAATGCCATGGTTTGCATTATGCTGTAGGCAGCATAGGATGTTTATTCCCAAATTTTGGAAATTATTTACTCATTTCCAAGCACGCACACAGCAACATACACAGAGACCAACAGAAAGACCAGCTGTCAGAATATTCCATTAAAAATGTCCTAAGGTAAAATAATCTCAGATTTGTCCAGCAGATCTTGACAAAATGTTCTTGAACATGCAGCTAACAAGACGCAGGTGAACATGATGGTCAACAGGTCTTAGCCACCCTTCTTCACAGGCTTTCAGTCTCACGCAAAGCACACTGACACTGGAAAAATCACATGTCATGTGCATCAAAATATGTATAACCAAACTCAAATGGGGGTACAGCAGGAGGGAAGGGCTTGGAGAAAGATTAATCAGACTGCTTGGAAATAATGTTCCCAAGTGAGGACTATTTCACTACCTCGCTGGTAATATGAGGTTAGCAGCCAGTGCATGCTGTGAGAACCTGGGACAAGAAATGTGCATTTAAAGCAGTTGTCTTGACTTCAAAACAGCTCAGCTCATCAATTGCATGCATAGATTGGTAAAGAAATCACATCTGAACAAACATCAAGCCTAGAAAACTAGTTTTAGAAGTATATTTAAATGCCAAAAACCCACAGATTATACTAAATAAGCAGCTCCTAAATTTGTTTCAAAAATAAGCAACGGCTAGTAATTTTGCAAGTAATGATCCTACGTATTTGCACTCCACTAAATATAATAAACTAAATAAATCTAAATTAGCACATAGTACTAAATAAAAATTACATTAAAATAATAATAAAAGTAAATAAATAAAAACTCTGTAAATATAAATGATTCAGGAACAAACCACTGTAAAACATACATAAATGAAACAATATTAGATATGGATGGCAAAAAAACTGTTCTGCAGCTAGTCGAAATTACTTTTTATAGTCCATTCCCTTTGAGGCAATAGATTATGGGTCCTCCTATATCCCAGCCTCACCCAAGGTAGCCTTTCCTGCTGTCTCCTTGTCTCCTGAAACTCAGCCCTGCTCTTGCGTCACACTTTGCAAGATTTCCTGGTGTTTGAGTAGCTTCCAGGAAATTCAGGCTGTTCTCTTTTCTTGGTATCATGAGTTTACACGACACAAAACTTGAAATTACTGATACATTCAATACTTTGAAATTATGGCTTGAGAACAAGCTTCAAAATAGCAACAACAGGAACCCTGGCCTTACCTGAAGGATCTTGTATTGTCATTTCCTTACGCTTCCGCATCAGCTTGTCCTTAACCCACGGGAACTCCTGTAAGGAATCCAAGAACACATCAAAAGCTTTGGGTCCTCTGGTGGGGAGAATATCAAGAAGCATCATGGTTTTCCTCTGACTAGTGGTTTGGGCTTTTATTTCTTGAACATGACTGTCTGTGAGAATCCCTTCTTGGTAGAGATACTGAATAACAAGTCCATCCACCAGCACCTCTGTGCAGAGCTCCAGGCGCAGGGAGCGTAAAAGCTGCTTGTCTCTGGCATCCATCTGGGAACCTAGAGTGTGAGAAAAGGAGTAAGGAAACGCGTGAAGATTAAAATACTTCAACCTTTAACGTCCAGAAGTGATATCTGAACATCCAAAAGTGATGTCTGACACTTGTCAACCTTCAGAGAAAACTCCAAACTCATAATCACCAACCTGGCAAAACTACTAATGATCCCCATCATCTTCTTTCCACTCACATTTCACTGTCTCACAAGGCAAGATGATCCAGTTTCTGGGAAATACTAGACAGGAATAGAACATTTGGCATTGCAAAGACCAGTCCTTTGCTGGAGTGAAACCCATGCCAAATAATCCTGCTGATTTAGGTCCATACTAAAGGCAGCTAGAGCACTTGCCAGAACTTAAGAGACAGTAGGCCCTTCAAAATGAAAGAGATATCACACCTGACCACTGATACAATTACAAAAGCAGCAGCAGAACTGGTAGATTCATCTCAGCCAGGCAGAAGCAGCAGCAGGGACAGAATCAGCAGGTAGCTTTGGCCTACAAGATGCAATTCAAGTTTAGGAGGGGTTGAAAGTACCTTAAGTTCTCACCCTTGAATCATCCTGGAAGACTGCTCTGGAACTCAGCTGTTCTGATGAGAAGAAACTTTCTTTGAATTTCCATCTCAGATTTATCCCCTTCTATTTATAGGCATTTCTTCTGCCAAAACGGTCCCTTAGCTTAAACAGCTCTTCTCCCTCTCTTCTAATGTGTTCACAGGAAGCGATCAGATGCCCTCTGCCAGCTTCCATTTCACTTGGCTAACACTCTGACTAGACAAAAGCTGAAAAAGATGCATTTTATAGCCACTCTACAAAAGAATAATCAGGGTCCAGAGTGACCAAGCAGCTCATCCAAGATCAAGTCAGCAGTCCATGCCAGACCTCCGAACCGAATCAAAGTGTCTAGTCCAGTCCTTAATGACAAACATGTCCCTGGGCTTATTAATGGCACTTGAAAAAGGACAACACAGGACAACACAATTAAATACTTTCTCGTTACTAAATAATAAAGTCAAAAAATGGCAGCCAGTGTTGTGTGATTACCAAGAGGATTTCTCACAATTAAACTGGACACTGCTGTTGGAACCGCTAGACCCTGCAGAAACTCTACTTCATTCCGCTTGAGGATTCAAGGAGAGACAGATTTTTCAAAGCTTTTGCATGAAACCTGATGAAGTCTTTTTACCATCAGAGGTGCCTGCTGACTTCCAGGGCTCCGTCAAAGATTCTGTGGTTGGCCTGGTTGTTAAAATCCAGGAGGATGACCAACAGAACATGTTGGCATGTAAACAGCACCTTGGACAGAATGCAAGAGCACAGTGTCATGAGAGAGAGACTGGAAAACCCTGTCTGTGGCATTCTCTGACAAAGCTACTTTCCAAAAATGCTTCCATCAAGTGCCAAAAGCACTGCTGGAAAGCATCTTCCTGGAGGACTCCATCTTTCCTGGGCTACCCAGTGCATTTCTCATTTACTGAAGTGAATTTCAAGGTGCTTACTCTCTAGGGATCATGTGGGAATCAAACACTGCTATGCCAGCCCATGTGCCCTAGCTTGCCAAGCACAGTTCAAACATCAAACTCCATCATGGACTGAGACAGTAGTGCAAGCAAGGAGGCAGAAAAAGAGCAGGCAAGAAAGAGAACTGGATTTTCCCACTTGATGTTAGGATGCTAATTTTGGACAGGTGAAGTTGAAAACATATAGTACCTTTACAATACAGAAAGCAACCTCTGGACTAGAGCAAAATTCAGGCAGTAAATCCTACCACTTCTTCCTTCTAGGAGAACATCCTTGAGCTCACAAAGCACTTGCAGACTTCAAGAAAGGCATCCAGCAGCAACTCTGGGGGTATCATCCCAACCCAGGCAGAAAACTGTTTCAGATACTACAAAATTTTTGTGCTTCACATTCTGAATGGGCCCTGAGAGCCCCTATTCAGGAGCCTCCTCACGTGCTGGATGACTGTACAGAACTTGATGAATTCATCTTCTTCCCGACCAAAGCAGCCAACACTTTTCAAAAAATAAAAGCTCTTACAAACCAAAGGTTTGCACCTTTGGGCACTGGGAAATGCCTATCAAGCCAGGAATCAGAAGGGAGAATTTCTGCTGCAAAAGCCCTTTGCCTTGCAGACTGCAGAACACACACAACTGAGGGTTTAAAGTCCTGGCACCAGCCTGGTAAACTTCCAGGATGGGGCATACTGATTTCTAAGGTCTTTCTAAAGATGAAGTATTTCTCTGTGTGTGTTTGCTGCTGAGAATCAAATATCTGAGTTAGGAACTAAGCAGCTAGATATGGAAATGTATCAGGATTTTGATGTGTAACAATGTTGGAACAGAGTGCAACAGCTTTAGCACAACACAGAATTAACAAATTCATTTTAATCACAGCCTGTATCTAGAGATCCAAAGTAAGCTCTGAATTAAATTTAGTCAAGTAATTTTACAGAAAATGAAAAATACGAGATGCCCATTTACCCAAAAGATCACTCAAACATTCCCCAGATACTTCTGAAAATGGATCTTTTCCATTATAAAGGCAAATTTTAAGAAATATAGCACACGACCTGCTGAATGAGCACAGTCCTTGACTCATTACCACACCAACACTAGCAGGTTTTTCCGGCTCTGACAGAGTAACTGTCCATGAATGGGGATAAAACTTTTGATAAGAACCCCTTCTGACACTAAAAAGGCACATTCACTTGGTTTTCTTGCTAGAAACATTTCACCGTTTTACCAACTGCACTCACCTGCCTAACCCATGAATTATTCCTGGCTATTCACAGCAAGCCTACGGGTCAAAAGTTTTATACATCCCCCCATCCCGCCAGAAAAAAAAAAAAAAAAAAAAAAAAAAAAAAAAAAGAAGAAAATTTAAAAAAAGAAAAAAAACCCAGCAAGTTTTGCTTTTAACGTCTTCCCTGCCGAGGTCTGGCAGCTGCTGCTCCGGTAACAGCCGGGAGCCAGCTGCCCACACGCCGGCCCGCGCCCCTCAGGCAGCAGCAGCCCCCCGGCCTTCCTCCGGTCCCGGCCTCCCGCCGGGCAGCGCTGCGGCAGTGGAGGCGGCCCCGCCGCCCCGGCCCGGCCTCCCCGCGGAAGCCCAGCCCCCGCCCCGGCCCCGCAGCGCCGGGAGCGCCGCCGAACGGCTCTGCGGCACTGCTCTCCCGCTTCCCCCTCGGCGGCGCCTAGGGCGGGATGGGACGAACCAAGTGGAGCCGTCAACAGCGCTCGGGAGGACGAGCGAGCAGTATGCGGGGAGCACCCACCGCACCCGCCCCGTACTTACACGAGGAGAGCGGGAAGCTACCTGGGACGCGCCGGCGCCCGCGGAGCTTGCGCGGGCAGCACCATCTTTGTTGAAGGCAGGAGGGCTCCGCCGGAAGCTGCCGCCGCCGCCGCCCTGCTGCGGGCCGGCCGAGGAGGGGCGGCCTCTGCCGGGCCGCCAGCGCGGGAGGGGCCCGCGGCCGCCATGTCAGGTGCGGGCAGCCGGGCCCCGAGCGGCCCCGCCAGCCCCGGCCCCGGCCCGCCCGGGAAGGGAACCGGCCGTGCCGCCGCTCCTGCTGCTCGGTGCCGGGGCGGGGACGGGAGGTGTCTCCGCCAAGGAGGCGCCTTTCCCGGAGTTCGCAGGACCTGCTGCGCTCTCAGGAGCCAGGGTGGTGGGGGTGTTCAGTGAGGGGAGGGGTTGTATCTAAAATTAAATTAGAAATTACGAAATGGGAGTTTTAATGGCATTAGAAACAGCTGATCTCATTGCTCTCTAGGCACACTGGTTCCTATTTGTGAGTGTGCGCTCAGCTGAACTTCATCCTGGTGCTGACATCGTCACATCAAACACAGCGGTATTATATCGAATACTGTACACATTTGGCTTCATTACTTTCATCTGAACAGCCTAAAAATGAAGAAACTTTAATAGATGAAAATAATTTATTCAAGTAAGAGGTGACCTGTCTCCACCACATTACTATGCATATTCTTGTTGTTTTATTCCTCTATTACTGAATACTGTATTATTGACTTAACTTTATATGGATGCCTGGAACCAAAATAGGGTAGAAAAGAGAAGACTGTGATTCACAGCGCTGTAAAACTGAGGAGGTGTCACTTTCGCTCACACATCATGAAATAACTTTTTTCCATCTTTGCATAGGTGTCAGGTGTCACACGGGATTGAGTGGTGTCAGCCCTTTTTCTTTCATGTTGGGACCGCAATAGCGATGAAAGGGGGGAAAAAAAAAAAGATCTTGCAGTGATGGAACGTACTAACTTTGAAGCTGCAGGCAGCCACAGCAAGCTGGCTGTGGTCTGCACAGCGTGCTAATACCTACCCTCTGGAAAAGCAGGAAAGGTGGTTGCTGCAGCTGCTGCTAGAAACGTCGTCACCTTGTGAATCCCATTTGTACACTCTGTTTAGACTAATCGTACAAATTTAAGGGTATTTGAAATATTTAAGGGTATTTGGAAGCTAGTTGTGGAAACCTTTACGTGCCTTTCCTAGATACTGTACCCAAGAAATACTTGGAAAAATTTAACCAAGAGTAGAGTTCACGTTCTGCCTATGCTTAACACGATATTTATCTACAAGATTTTGCGTAAAGATAGGCAGTCACTCTCAAGAATCTTAAATCCTTTTCCTTTGATTTTCCTATGGCTGACAGTTCAGAATTTATGTGGACACAGAATGTAAATCAGCCTTAAAAGCAAAGTTTGTATACTGGTTTTAAGAAATGTTTAAAAAAATCTAGATACACATATCATGTGGCCAGCTTCTGCAGAGATGCTACTTATTTGGCAGTTTTAAAGCAGTGTTTTGGTTTGATGACTTGACACTTTTATCTATAATTATTTGCAGGTAATAAATTGGATACAGGGGATTCAATTGCTTGTGAATAATTGATAAATAATATCTTATTACAATACATCTGATAAACCAAGGTAAATATTTTTTTTGTCTCAGGCACACTTTAGTCTTCTAGGAATGCAGGCATAAGAAAATCTAAATACTCCTCTGGATTGTTTCAGAGCAATGCATTAACATATTTGACAACACTGGAAGCCGCACAAGTAAGTCATCATTGGTAACTCCAAGGCAAGAAGTATGCTGCTGTTGTAGCCAAAGTACAACTGAGGTGGTTTTAAATTTTCTTGCCACGACGTTTTTCATCCTAGTTGTGAGGAGATGCGTTTGTAAACAGTACAGAGCAGCTCCAGGGAGCAGAGGCACCACGAACGTCTGTGTGATCGTTCCTCAGCACAGCACTACACAGCTACTGAGAGCTTCCTGTCCCGGCTTCTTGTGCTTCTGATTGTCACTGCTGCTTTTTTTTTTAAATTCCTTTCAGTCGTGATCTGAGGAACTGTATTATATCTGGAATTGGAGTGACCAAACTTGGAGACTTCAGAGAATCTCATCTTTGCAATCCTGACAGCTGCTTTTAATTGCAGATAATGTGGCTGCATTTTAAAATAGAAAATTAGGACAAGCAGTTACATCACTGCATTTACTGTATCTTTTTGCCAGATGAGGCAATTTGGTTTTTTTAAATTTTATACTATCCAAGAAGTCTTAGAAAGTTAGCAGAACATATGGATATGCATAGAGCGACTCCAGATTCCACCCAAGGAAATTACAGCAGTTATACGGTCAGCATTTAGTCACGTATTTGCTTGCAGTCTGAACAGAGATGGAAAGAAGGAAAGCAGTGAAAGGAAATAGATAAGCCTAGGAAGAAAGAGGACAGCACCAGAGGTCCAAATCTCATTAAGGGAAAATCTGGTGTTTCCTTTTCCTTCCACTAGTTAATAACTAGGGCAGCAAATTTATTTAGTGGAAACTAAAAATGCTACTGGTGTTTTGAGTTCATCTTTACCAATGCAGCCAGGTTTTGATTATATAGTACATGTACAGGATAAAGACACACAGAGTTAATACTTAAATCCAAGGGGAGAAGTCCTTAAATTCTTTGTTTCAGTCCCATTTGGGTTCAGCCCTCACTAAAGGTCTTCCATTCTGGTCCAAGTTCAACAAAACTTCAGAGACATTGTTTGGTTCTATTTCAGTTTTAAGGACAAATACATATAGGTATTTGACATATATTTGAGCCAGTGTGGCATCAACTGAATGCCCCACTAACTGCTCAAAGCTAACCATGTAGATTAAAAAAACATTTCCTAGACTGCAGATCAATGGACCATAGTCAATCCTGCACATGAGTATCCTCAGACTTTTAGTCTTAAAATCTTGTTCTGTCTGGTTCTGCAGATTGAGGGGCCATCAGTGGTCATCAGGCCATACTTTTAAGGACTGCTGAATTCAGGGTCACAAGTCCAAATCTGTGGGAACCAAGCTAAGCAGTATCTTTTCTGACAATGCTATTCACTTTACATGTAGGTTATTCCAAGTCATTATCCCAGATTTTTACATTTATTATGCACTTTTTAAAAGCTCACTTAAAAGTCACAAACCTTTTCAGAAACTGTACCAGAATGATGAGATTTTTAAAAAATGTTTTTGAGAGGATCCTGTATGCTAATTAGAGTCAAGCTGTATCTTAAAACTGGCACAAGCAGATTTAATGTATTAGGATTGTGCTGTTTTCAGTTGTCTGCAGGACAGCATTCCAGCTTGAGGGACAAAAGAAAAAATAGGAGCCTCTAGATTTGTTTATTAAAAGCACATCTAATTGGTTAAATCTCTCACAAAGCCTCAGGAATTAAGAAGGGAAAAGAGAAACATATCTTGTATGCTTGCCTGTCAATTTTCGAAAGAAGAGCGCAGAAAACATTTCTGTAAGTGATGTGTCTCAAAAACAGTGTTAAAATGTAAGTCAGGGTGAGCCAAAGTGGGTGGCCCTAAGGCCAGTTGAGGGTCTTGCAAACCCTTGCTGTCCACTGCTGTCCCAGGCAGTAACCCCTTCCCTTCCTCCCTCTTCTCTTCATCCTCACCCTGGCCCCCACTGCCCTCCCCTTTGCAGCTGTGGACCTCTGTAATGCTAACATCCAAAGCTCCTGTGCCAGTCACTGAAAACCTGGCTGATGCCAGGGAAGGGAAGGGTTTGGTATAGAAAGTTTCCCCAAACTGTTGACCAAATCTTAGGCATGCTGTGCTGGATACTGGCGGGATTTGAGGACACTAGGTGGTCAGTTGGGAAGGGGTCTCGCTCTTCAGGTGGCTTTTGCTATTGGAAAAATGATTCCTTATCCCTCCTAAAAAAAGATGACAAGCAGGACTGAAGCACATCACTGAAAGGGATCGGCCCTTGGGCTGCTGCGTACTTGTTCTGATACTTTGTAACTTCCATTCGTTTAAATAATAAAGACTTTAAATTCAATGCAGATCAAAGAGAGGGATTAATATAAAATATAGGTGACACGTCATGAACTTCCTCAAAAGTAGTATTTTATTAAAAGGCACGTCCAGCACGTATGTAAAATATAACACAGAAAGTTCTAAAGCATCTTAAAACATAGACTTTAAAGTAACTCTGTAGTGTCTCTACATTTACATTTGTTTCCATAATAAAAATAAGTGTTTATTAGCAGTACTGCAATGAATTCATAGTGCTTTTTACTATGATACAAATAATTTCTAGCAAAAAGTTGAATGAGAAATAGTTATAAAAAGGAAGCAGGCATCCACTGCAAAACTTTTGTATACATTTCATTTTAAAAATCCAGTGAATTGTAAAAAAAAAAGTGTAATTAATACTTACAAAGCATGACACAGTATTTCTCAGAATTTGTAGTCCTTTAAATATATTAATTAATGTACTCTATTTTTAAGTTTAATTTGAAGATTCTTTGAGGAGAAAGGTGAAATACTGCAAGCCTCTTATTTTTTATTATTTATTCCAAACTTATTAAATTATTTTTTAGATGTAAAGCACCATTTTATTAATATAAGAACAAAGAAAATTCACTACTTAACCTGAAAGTCAAACATTGGCAAATAACTAAAACTAAATAAAGATTGAAGTCTGAAACCTTTTCACAAAACCAACTTACTTTACTTGCAAATTACAGCATATGAAATGGTTTTCTAATATTTTAGATAAAAGACTGGAAGGTTGCTTTTATTTAGGGGGAGAAAAGCTATTGCTTTTTGCAATCTTCTATTGCTTTCCCTGCATTTGAACTCATATACAATGCCTACCTATGGACAAACTTATATACAATACCTATATTTTGAAAGGTCCTTTAGACTTCAGGAGCTAGCAATGATTCATGGAATGTTTTTACAGATAGCCTCACAAGATATTTGCCACTGCTTATACCTTTCCCATGCATACTTTTTTCAAACAAAAAATAATTTTTTTCATTAATTAATTAATAAAATTAAATTCAATTCACTTCAATTAAAAATTCACTTGATCTATTTTGTTCCCTTTCAAAATGAAAGTTGCTTGCCTGCAGGCTAGTGAAGCATCCTGCAGTAGGCACTGCAATCTCTGTCAGGGGAGTTAAAAGAAACAGATGAATTTCCAGAAAGCTTCTCACAAGCAGCTTTTCTCACAGAAAACACACGTCTGAAGCACTCCAGCTCAGGAAGGAGCTGTGCCACATCCACTGCAATCTAGCTAGACAAGGATCTCACTTTCCTAACTTACTTCCTTCTCTTTTTTAGCAGTGCAGCCAGTCAAAGGTATTGCCCTCATT